GAGATCCAGAAATGAGATGTGAAACAGGCAATAGCCTCAAAACAAGCCGCGGCCGGCTCCAGGAATTTTGCCCGGAGCACCGGGAGGCCCATGGGGCGCGACAGCGACCCCAGGGAAACAAGGCCGCGTGGGAGATCCAGGAAGCAAAGGGCCGTCCAGGCTATGAAGCGGACAAAGATGCAAAGCGCTGGAATCCATCCGGGGCCCTTTGCTCCCCCCGGTGCTGTTGCTTTGGGCTTGAAGAAAATGTTCGTCTGGAGACCTGCCATGGCCAAGCCAACCCCGAGGCAAGAGAAAATAGCTTCTTCGAGAAACTCCGGCGATCCAGCAAACCAGGCTGCTGCGCCGTTCGCCACTGCCCCGAGGAGGTACCCCGGCATCGTGACGAGCGGGTGCAAGACGGCGCTCGCCACTGCAAATGCCGCCAGCTCCGCAGCATAGGCGGCCCCGTACCAGACGGAGCACATAGCGGTCTTGAAGGGACGAACGGCTTTCAGTGCATACACTTCTGCATCCGCGCCACGTTTTACCTTGCAGGGTCTTGAACAGGGCATCGGCGCAAGATGCTACCACGACTTGCATGCGGAGCTTCTGAGACCGCTTTAAACTCCAACCCCTAATTACGGCTTCTTGATCATGCATGTTCACTCTCTCCCCAGCAACGCCTCGCCTCTTCCTGCAGTTTGCCCTCGGCCATGGCCTTGGCGGAGCTGTATAGCCCATAAAGGCAGCTGGCTGCCTGCAGCGGTGTCAGCTGGAGCAGGGACGCGCCGTAAGGGCCGATGAGCCCCGTGCTCGGGGCTTCGGCGAGTCGCTCCGCCCCGAGCATCCCCTCCCAAGCCTTGGTCGGCACTCCGCGAGCCAAGCAGAGCCGGGCTTCGCCCAGGGGATCGAACCGCTTCAGGCTGCTCTCTTCTGTCATGAACGCGACCGTGAGCAGAGAGCTGAGGAGCACGAAGAAGGCTATGAAGGCTCCAAACCACCAGTCTCCGTGCAGGAGAAAGGTGCCGATCTGGAGGAGGTCGTTCACCATGTCCTGGGCAGGAGGGGGGCTGGGCCTCGGGATGTAGGCCTTCCACATGCAGGTACGCTAGAATGACACCTCCCTTCGACAAACGATCCTTACCGCAAGGCCGAGGCTCGAATAGGAAGACGGCCAGCTGGAAATAAATCCCCGAAGGCGGGCACAAGCTGAAGGCGAAGACGGGCACGTAGCCTTCGGGGATAGGGATGATAGCCATTGCGTGAACGAAACCGGCTAACGTGGCCTACACGTCGCGCTGCGGCGGGCTCCGCGCCACTTGTGCCGGCTCGATCCCAAGATGCGGTTTAGGGCTTAGTTGGCTAACTGCAGATGCGGCAAGCAAAACATTTCATCACAAGCTTTTGCGCGCCCCAACAAGTAACACCCTTGACTCCGTTCTGTGCCTACCTTTGCCCCGAGGGATGACTCAGATATCTGAATGCGTAATAACGGAGAAGTGTTGCGAAGTTTTCTTGTCGAAGTTTGATTAAAAGCATATCCTAACTGGCGTCCGAACATCTGCGGCATGCAAGCTGTACTTCTCCCTGCAACAGCAGGCTGAAACAAGTGCCAAGGTTATTTTCGGGATTGCTAACGCGGTTACTCGAAGGCAAGGGCTTCTATACGATTTTCTTTCCAGGGCTAGTGTAGAAGGGTCCTTATCAGGATTACCATCATGGTTGCAACAGGGGCTGCCATAGCAAAGATGGCCAGCAGCACGGCTTCGCCAGCAGGCGCCGGCGCATGGCCAGAACTGAGAATCCTCGGGGTTCTGTAGGTCTAAAGTTTAGGGTTTAGGGGCT